ATCCCGTTGCCGGTCCCGGTCCGGTACGGGCGCGACACTGAGGGTTGTGATCTGTTGCCGGACACGAAAAAAGACAAAAAGGAAAAAAAAAAAAAAAGAACATATTCTGGAACACAGGGTAAATGATATACTGAAGCAATCATTGGGATGTATTATAGGCACTTCTACAAATTACCACATTGACATTGTCCCCTCTTAGAGATGTACATGCATGAGCCTCATCAAATTTCATTAACTTAACTATGTACTAACCAGCACTGCAAAGAAGAATTCACCCAGAAGCTCACAACTTAATTACCCTTAATTACCTTTAATATCTGCAGTAGTTTTAGATTAACCTCATGCAAAATGCTTTTCAAAGAGAAGTCACTAACAAAGTTGATTGCTACTAGAGACAATATCCTGATTTCACCATACACTTTAGCCATTGCCAGCCTCCCTCCCTCCCCATGGAAAATTTTTGGACACAGCAGGGATTTAATGTGACTAGCCTTATGGTGGGAATAGATAACTCTTACTTACAGTTCTACCAGCAGTGACGGGAGATCCTACCATATCAGAAATTACAGCTGTCTTTGTCCAGACTATTCTGAGATTTTATTTATTTACACAGTTTAAGAATCTGAAATATCGGGCCAACACCATGGCTCACTTGGGAGAGTGCGGCGCTCTGGGAGCGCAGTGGTGCTGGTAGCGCCAAGGCCGCAGGTTCGGATCCTATATAGGGATGGCCGGTGCGCTCACTGGCTGAGCGCGGTGTGGGCAACACCAAGCCAAGGGTTACAATCCCCTTACGAGTCACAAAAAAAAAAAAAAAAGAAGAATCTGAAATATCCAGAGTAAGCTCTACAATTCTAATAGTAAGGTCTTTCATATGGAAAAAAAATACAATTCCATTCCACTTTGCTCTTTCTTTCACAACTCTCAGCCTCCTTGCAATCTGCCATTCCACTGTGTACATCTAGAATGCTCACCCCTTTTCTAAAGGCATCAAGTATTTCTTTCCTTTTCTCAAAATTTCCTAAAATCCTTTCTTTTCCCAGAATTTTCCAATAAAATTTCTCCTCAGTCTCTACATTCAACATTCTAAGTAAGCTGATCATTATACAAATCCATAATATTGGCATAAAATGCAAATATTAATTTGTATTTTTCAAAAGGCATTTTCTTACAAATATAATATGGTAATGTATTCCTGGCATCTATAAATCCACTGGCATTTATTTTAGAAGGCAATGTCCTACAGAACAAGATCACAGCCCTTTAAAGGATCTTCTAGTGTATGTACATAAGTATTAACATGTATAAATACAGCCTAGTAATAGTAAATGATAACGTAAGTTTATGATGGTACAGATTCTGTCTTGTTTTCCCCTATATCTCCAAGAGCCTAGAACAGTGCATGATATATAACAGGTACTCAACAAATATTTAGTGAATGAATAATCCATACCTTTATAGGTAAATGTAAAACTATTCAGTTGTAATCTCAAAATTTAGATTGTTTATAATAAGTAGAGGGCCTCCCAGGGAATAAAATCAGATTAGAACTGACATATTTTTGCTACTTTCAACTGCAATTGAGGAATATACTGGAACTAAATACCATTAAGAAACAGTAGACATTTAATAGATATAAAATGCTTTGCATCACGATTCCTAGATCCCAGGCCTTAAATCCTTCAGTGGACCTCAACTTGATAAATGTTTCTGCTTAGTAGCTAAAAATTGCTAGTTAAGACACACTGAGGTATACATATAGATGATACTAAGTTATGTACATATGCTTTAGAAATACTTTTGAAAATTTACTTGCTATGCTGAAATGTCACCCCAACAATGGTCTTCTAATATTGCAATACTGGGTAAGGTCTCAAACAGATCTGCCTCATACTATGTTTAAATTCAGAGTGTTGGAATATTTCAAAGTGTATTTTAGCAATTGCCCACCTACACCCACCAGAATTTCACATACAGAAATATATTTGAAGAAAATATTAGCATTTGAGGTTCAAACAAATGCAAAGTTGACTAGGTTCTAGACTAAAATGACTTACATAGTGAAGATCTCATTAAGGTAATGCATCACCCCCTCCCCCCCAATTTAGGAAGTATAGCTTTCAGAAAACCAGAGCTGGAAGTAATCTTGAGAGGTCATCTAGTCCAATCCCCTACTATTTGGTAGGACAGCACCTAAACCACCCAAGAAAGACAGCTGTCAATTTGACTCTTAAGCTCTCCAAAATGGAGAATCTACAACCTCCTTAAGCAATCTCCTACGGATCTTGACTTAAAATTTAAGGTTTTAGTTTGACCTCAGGAAAGACAAAGATATATTCTTTTTAAATAATCCTTCATATATTCGAATACTTACATGGAACAATTTAGACTTGTTTGTTCTTTCCCAGGCTGAACAGCCTAGGGCATTAAAAAGTTAGTTGTTTCTTTCACACATCCAACCTTACAAATGATATACTGTACTGTATCATGGGCTAAGTTTAAAGAGGCCACTAAGAGAAACAAAAAACAGCAGGGTACTCTAAAAGCTCATTTTAAAACAAACCATTTCTATTATAATTATCTAATATAATCTATTGCACATAGAAAGTATCAACTAAAAAATGATTATCTAAAAAAACTACTTCATACTGACTATATTTGGCTAACTTATGCCAAGAATTTCATATGCTTCAAATTTGATTTTTACTAGTAGTTTGCAGTTAAGTAATGACATAAAAACTGGGACTCAGCTTCCTCCAAACCTTATGCTTCCTCATTTAGACAAGACAAAAACTCTCTATTTTTGAAATCTAACCTTAAACTGTTCTTCCAATTTCTCTCGAAGAGGGCTCAACTTGTCCAAGCTCTTACTCAGGTACACATGACCATGGAATTTAATAAAGGCCTTGATGAAGTCAGAGACACCCCATTTGGTTTTCACCTCATCCCGGCTGAAATGAAAAAAAAAAACAAAACAACAACAACAAAAAATTTCCATGAATTTTAAGCAACAAAATGGCTAAAACCACTTAAAGGAAGCTTTGGCTTGCAAAAACAAGTTATTTGAGCACCTGGTATATATACAAGGAGAGTATTCTACAATCAACTGAAACACACACAGATGAGTCAGTACTAAGCGGCCTGTACTCTCTTACAGGGAGCAAATGAGACACTGACTGGCTGATACTCAGTGATATACACAAAACTATTACAATATATCTATATATTTAGAAACAAAAGAAACGTAGAGAAGTGTAGAGAAGCATAGGTAACTTATTTCCTGTATGCCAAAATTTGAGGGGTTACACAAAGTAACAGGTTACACAAAGTCTTCTTGGGGAAAAAGTCAACCCTACCTTTCCAGTGCTTTAGAAAGTGCTTTTTGTAGATTAGTGGAGGCTGCTGGGAAAGGGAACTTCACAGCAATGCTTCTGCAGTAGTAGAAAATTGTGGTCAGATGGTCTCCTTTGGAAGAAGCTAAGATAGCCAACTGATTGTAAGGCTGACCTACAGGAGAAAAGTTAAGATTCTAAAGTAACCCAAGAACCATAAAATCTTACCATCAGAATACAAATGATCAGTTTTTAAATCTTCAAATTAATAAAGAGGAGTATTTTATAAGGTAAATCTCATGACTATCTCATTACTAATGGGCATAATGTCAAACAGCACATTTTAGCAATAATACACACTATCACGTGTAAGTGAAAAAGTCATATGATTAGGGTGGAGAGCACTACACGTTCAAATAAGGCTTCGGAAAGGGCTACACAGAAAATATTTTCAGTTTTGCAGACCAAATGGTCTCTATCACAGCTACTCAACTCTGCCACTGTAGTGTGAAAAAAGTCATAAACAATATAAAATGAATAGTGTGGCCACACTACTTTCCGTGTTTTAGATTCTTTCTAGAATTTCGATGGAGTTTAACAAGAATGATTTACATTACCAAATATCAGCTGTAATTTCTTTAATTCAAGAACCACTGCTAATGCCTACTTTGGGCCATCAAAAGATGAAAGCATTATCTTTTAGCATTAACATCACGTAGAATGTCTTGTAATACCATTTTTCTAGGGGGAAAATGGCAGTATTAAAGAAATAATTATTCTTTTACAATTAAGGAAGCTACAGTTATAAAGCAATATTAGATCACATTAAGGAATATTGCATTTATACTGCTTTATTGAAAATAAAAATAATTTTAGTTGTAAAAAAAATAATTCGGGCCGGCCCGGTGGCGCACTGCTACAGTGCACCGCTTGGGAGCGCGGTGGCGCTCCCGCCGAGGGTTCGGATCCCACATACAGACCGGTTCCCGCTCACTGGCTGAGCGAGGTGCGGACGCAACACCGAGGTTTGCGATCCCGTTGCCGGTCCTGGTCCGGTACGGGCGCGACACTGAGGGTTGCGATCCATTGCCGGACATGAAAAAAGATAAAAAGAAAAAAAAAATAATAATAATTCATTTCAGGTTATATGAAAGGTACAGTTAAAAGGAAAAATATGACACTGAATACCAAAACAACATTTATTGCTTTCATAAAACTTGAAAGATAAGCCTTGAGATATTTGCCATATTGCTGTAAAGAAAAAAAAGTATCATAGTCAACCTCAAGTTGATAGGCCCACTCACCATTGGAGGGGACAAGCTGAGCTGCATGCCTATAGTAGGACTCTGCCTGGCTGGTCTGGTTTCTGTATCGAGCTAAGAAGAAAAATAAAATTTTATTTAAAAAATAAAAAATAAAAAAACAACTGATAGGGCAGTATTTCCAAATAGCTATAGTTTGAAATTATAAAGGTTTCCATTGAAGTTAATTTAAGATCATTAAAAACAGAAAATACTTCAAAACAAATTAACCATAGGATTATGTGTAAAGTGTCCACCTGGCCTTCCCTATTTGAGACATTCAGCACGTAATCACTTTTAAAGCTTACCTAGACCCCATTTTCAGGTCCTCCAGTGTCATGCATCACCAGCTCCCACTACAGACTATGCTGGTGACCTGGAGCTGGCCCACAAGAAGTGGTGAGTTATATGGCACTTAAAAACAAAACAAAACAAAAAAACACTACACAATATGATCTGAAAATCATGGATTTTTTCAATCTTATAAAGTGATTTTGAAAAATGTCTCTTACCTATTCCATATTAAGTATGTGTTGTGCATAGAATACATTTAAATAAAAAAAATAAATAAAACCTAACCACACTATCACTGAATCTCCCTGCACAACTCACTCACTTTGGTGTGATCCCCTCATGGAATCATTGATTTATGACATTAAAAAACCTAACATCTTCAAACTTAAAATCAGTAATGTTCTCCATTCTTTTTTATTTGAGGACAAGCAAAACATAATCCTATAGTTAATCTGTTTTACAACCTTTTTAGGTCACCTTAAAGGAATGAATAAGAATAAATAAGTTACCTATTGTTCCCAGATAAAATACATATAATGGAAATACAAATTTAATTTTAAAAAAGATGAGAGTTAAAAATGAGCTTTTAGTGCCCTGGTCGGAAGAAAAGAAGGCAATCTAGCTTCAGAAGGAGTAATTTATAAACGCCATTTATTCCAAAAAGTACAGACTTTTAACTTAGATAATATTATAGTACCACTCTGACAAATACAGCTTTGATTACATTTTGCCATTTATTATCTGCCTATACTTGCATAAAGTCTGAATGAAATTTAAATCTTAATATGAAGGTTACTTCCTGCAAGATCCTCTGCCAATCCCCAAACACTGAGAAATTATAAGTTTCTTAAAATATATGTTAGTTTCCTCTGTGACCATCTAAATTGTGTGTGCATGCTCAGTTTAAAGGAAAATAATTTCTTTCTATTACTACTCCAAAGAAAAGAATGAAAGTATTATCAATTCCTCCATACCAAAGACTCACCAATGTCTCCAAGGTGGACGAGGCAGTGCTGGCAGATATAGGAACAGGAACTAGACTGTGGCTTCACTATGGCGCTTGTATGCGTCTGTTTATTGCTGATAATTCCCAGTTGGGAAGACTTCACACGGCATGGTAAATCTACATTAAACACTGTACAGAGTTCTTGTAATAACTAAAAGAAGAACATCAGCAAGATTTAGTAGTAAGTCAGAACTGCTAAGTCATAAGTACTCTAACAATAAAGTTTGTACACAATAATACATGAACCTAGTATCATATACTGCTGAGACCTGTGCAAGAACTACATAAAAAGTATATGGTAAACTTTCATAGGATAACTAGTATCATTCATTACAAATCATATCTTTTGAATTCTCAAGTATTAGAACAATTTAGGGTGTGCATTTGAAAGGAACAGCAGCATTTTTTTTTTTTTTTGTCTTTTTCGTGACCGGTAAGGGGATGCAACCCTTGCTGTGGTGTTTCCTGCACTGCGCTCAGCCAGTGAGCGCTGTGAGTGCATCGGCCATTCCTATATAGGATCCGAACCCGCGGCGGGAGCGTCGCTGCGCTCCCAGTGCCACACTCTCCCAAGTGTGCCACGGGGTCGGCCCAGAACAGCAGCATTTTTAAAAAAACACTATTTATCTGAATAGGGTTTTCAGACAAGTTTAGCAAGTGAAAAAAAGCAAGACATTCTGTGAAATGCTCTACTTCTCTCAGAAACACTCAAAAAACATTAAAGATTGGTTGGTTAGAAATGTGACTTAAATGTAAGCCAAAGTTTTTGTCAGACTTTAGTAGTTTCTCAAGATTTATTTTCTTAGGCTCTATACCAATTCACATGTCTCTGCATACACGACAGATCTCATGGTATTATAGACCTTATGTAGACCACCCATATTTACTCCTCTCTTCTCTCTTCCTAAAGTATAAAGAGTTCTTCCTCCTAGTCAGATCTAACTCCTCTACGTGTGCCTTTACTCCATACTTTTCTGTCTCCTGCTTGTCACCCCCTCATTCTTTCATCTACTTTCAACTTCTCATGCTTCTTTCCTGTGGCCCACACACAAGTGTCTCCTACAGAAAACAAACAGAACCAAAACACTCTCCCTCAATCCTAGATTCTTTTCTAGAAACTTTCTTCCTCTTCTCGACTTAACTTCAAAGGAGTCCACACTTTTCCTATCGGCTTTCTCAGCTCCTATTTACTCCTTAATCTCCACATAACCCCCTTCTTCCCACTCCATCACCCATTACAGCTTTATTGAAACTGCTGTCAATCAACAATATGTTAACTATTAGCCAAATACAATGGACGTTTTTTAGTTGTCATCTTAATCGACCTCTCTGCTGCATTTAAAACAACTGATCTTATGGTTGATTACTGAGCTTTTTCTAGCTCCTTGTATCTCTCCAAGCATTCCTGTTCAGTTTCCCTCATTAAAAGGCTTTTCTCCTCCTACCTTGCCACCCAGGGTTTAATTCATAGCCCCCACACAGTTCTTCACATTTTATTTTCATCTATTCAAGTATTTACTTGTAAATATACTCATTCAAATATTATTATATCCATCCAAATATTTGGCTACTGTACTGGACACATGGTAAGCAAGACACAAAGATGAATAAGAATCTGAGTCTTAAAAGAGTTTGTTGCCAAATGGGCAAGTCAGGTACAAGAAGGGGGGAAGGGGGGAAGGGTGCAAGGGAGGAAGGAGGCAGAAAGACAGGAGGAAAAGAGGAGGAGGAGGACAGAAGGGGGGTTAACAGGGCCAGGGAGAGAGAGAACATGATATACAGTATAAGCCAAAAGAATATTCTACATTTATAATAAACTTCATTCTCTAGGTTATTTGATATATTTGTCTCCCTTTATCCTTGTGATAAAATAGTAGCAACACAGTATATGTAGGTATAAAGCTCCATTTTTTTCAAATGAGGATGTGAAATCAATGGAAATATCAAGGGATTTGACTAAGGTTACAGAATTAAAAATACCTTGATTCTTTTACCACTCTTTCTAACATCTGCAGAATTCACAATATAAAATAAGACACCCTATGGACCCACCCCCAAAGGATCTGAAATGTGCCACATTCTTCCTAAGCTAAAAACCACCTCCGTAACTGAATATAAATTCTGTGTACTCTTTCTCACTAAGCACAGGAATTACCTGCTTCATCCTTTCTTGTACTTGTACATTTGTAATGAGGAAGACATTTGCTGAGATAAAATTGGGTCAACAACTTAATTCCCAGAATGGGTAGTCAAGAAATAGAAAAGGCATTAAGTTCAGAAGAGGAACAAAAAAATGAAGAAAACAAAACAAGTCAACTGTGGAAGATAGCAAGAAGAAAATGAGAGGATAAAGCATTAAGTTCACTAGGTTCTGAAAGATCAGACTGGAAACCTAGACAAGTCTGAACATCTAGCAAGAAGAAAAAGGACTGATCACAAAAAGTAAATCAAACATTGTTGGAACATCACGTAGAATGTCTTGTAATACAATTTCTGCCTGAAACCAAAAGTTGTAAGTACAGATAGAAAATCTCCTGATGGCTCAAGAATTCTGGGAAAGAGAGCTGTAGTTGGCTTAGAGGCAGTAACAAAGTAAAACTAAAGAGAAACAGATGTTTCATGAGTTTAAAAAAAAAACTGTATTTGGGGGCCGGCCCGGTGGCGCACTACGCTAGTGCGCCGCTTGGGAAGCGCGGAGGCGCTCCCGACGAGGGTTCAGATCCCACATACAGACGGGTTCCCGCTCACTGGCTGAGCGAGGCGCGGGGGCAACACCAAGGGTTGCGATCCCGTTGCCGGTCCCGGTCCGGTACGGGGGTGACACTGAGGGTTGCGATCCGTTGCCGGACACGGAAAAAGACAAAAAAAAAAACAAAAAAAACTGTATTTGTTAATTATTCTGCAAAAACTATATTCTACCTTTATGTATGCTGACCCAGATGTACTTTACTTGGTAGTAGTTTCCTAAATCTGGATGAATGGCTGAGATAAGAAGTTAGTTCATTTTACAAGAGTATTGGCCAGGAAATATTCCTAAAACTGTAGCTGAATGATTAATGACTCTTGTTCTTCCCAAATTCCAATTATAGAATTATATCTCTCTTTTTCCTGGCTGCTGGCTGGTACAGGAATCCAAACCCCTGACCTGAGTTCCCCATCCATCAAATGATTTTTATACTATTTTATTTCTCCTCAGCTCTATACCCTATGCCAAGAATGAAAGATTGACATTGAAGATGTAGAATATCAACTTTATATGATGCAGAAACAATGATAACACTTTATTTCTGGCTTCCATTTTTTTAGAATAAGGACTGTTGTGTTTTTTGATATTTAAAAAAACAAAACAAAAACAACAACAACAAAAAACTACAGCAGAATGGTACATCTTTTCTATAACCAGCAATTTGGTTCTGCTTAAGGCACCATGCTTTAAACTGGTTAACAAAATGATAGTTAAGTAGTCAAAAACTATCTTCAAAGAAAATGTAACCACATAATCACATACTAGTCTTTTCTCCATCCACTCTAATCAGATTTCCATCCTCACCACTCTGCTGAAGTTACTCTCATCAAATCCAAGATACCATAAGTTATAAGAAGAACAATTATTTATATAATATTGAGAGGAAAAAAACACCGTCAATTTAACGGTAACCTGACATCTATTATAAACATCCCAATTTCAATGTTAAAATATTTTAAAAATGTTTTAGAAATGAAGAAATACAGTTCACCAATGACTTCCCATGTTGTCAAATCTAACTGGTCACTTGTTAAATCTTAGTTGACTTCTCAGCAGCACTCAACAGGGTTGATTACTCCCTCCCCTCACTGACGCTTTTCTCTTGGCTTCCAAGGCACCTCTCTCCCTGATTTTCTCCTATTGCAATGGTGGCTCCTCTTCTTCAAAACCTGTTCCCATCTAAGTCAGGGTTCTTTACAGTAATCATAAAATTTACTCTAGCCCTGACCTTCCCACTGGGCTCCAAGCTTGCTTGCTTATTTAGTTACTTATTTATCCAATTTATTTATTTATCCTATTTATTTATTTACTAACTTACTTATTTATCCAATTTATTTATTTATCCTATTTATTTATTTACTAACTTACTCACTTATTTATCCACTTACCTATTTGAGATCTCCACTTAGATGACAAATAAGCATCTGTCTAACATGAACAAAGCTGCTTTCATATTTAGTTACTTATTTATCCAATTTATTTATTTATCCTATTTATTTATTTACTAACTTACTTATTTATCCACTTACCTATTTGAGATCTCCACTTGGATGACAAATAAGCATCTGTCTAACATGAACAAAGCTGCTTTCACCTAGTGTTCCCCATCTCGGTAAAAGGTACGACCATTAAAAAAGCCGCTCAAGCTGATAAATCCATCCAATTCTTTTCATTACTATGGCAGCATCCTGACTAGCTTCATTCCTGATCCCAGTGTCCAAAGTGATCTTTTAAATTTGATCATGTTACTCTCCAATTCCTTGCAACTACACTTAATATTAAAATTCAAAACTCATTTTTGCCTATAAGGCCAAATAATGATCTGGAATTGCTCTCCATTCTCAATACGGTGACTAAATGTGCACTGTGTGCAATCAAGATGTATGGAACATTATTTAGTAACACCATCAAATGTTTCATTAGCAAACCAAGACAATATAAAATTGCAAGTTAAAATCCTATTAATGTTGATATCCGAAAAGTCTAAATTAAATTACCATAATGTGAGAATAAAGTTTATTGATGCTTACTATACAACTGTCATAATTATTCAACCATTATGCAGGTAGGGGAGAATCAATGCTTATAAAAATTTCAAAAAATTTTTTCAAAATTAAAGTACCCATACATTTTCACTTATAAAACAATTTTTGAGATATTTGAATGATTTTACAATTCACCTGCTTATAAAGTGTTCTTTAAAATACCATGCCCTCTCAATAAAAACGATTCTTGCCTTACTTCCTCGCAGATTTCTTTTGATTTACCACTGTCCAGTTAAACTGCTGGAAATGTGTCACATGTATGTCACATCATTAATAAAAAAGAATCATTTTTCAAGATGACAAATCAATCTGTATAATAGCTATTACAAAAATGTACTGCAGAAGGTAGGTGCCTTCCCTCTCCCTCTAACAGAGCCAGCTACAACCTCCCTCCTGTTCCCCCTACTTCAGTCATGTTCCCAGTTACTAGCTTATACTGCATGGGAGAAAGAAGAGATTTGAATCAGAAACAAGACTGAAGTTTTAAAATTGGACTGTGCTTCAAAAACTGAAAGCAATTGGAATGTTAAGGACTCTGTCCAGATAATGACGGAAATCTGGAAATTCAATGGAGCATAGTAGAAAGCAGTAACTGGTGGGGGAAAAAAGACGACATTTTTGTTAATACCCTATTTAACTGAGATTACTCAATTAACATAAGAATCAAACTATAAATTTTATATAATTTTTCACATAACACAATAATTTTCTCATAATCTTAAAATATCATCACAAATACCATTTATCAAAGTTTCATGTTTCCACTTTACAATTATGCCATAATTTATTTAACTATTACTCTATTGTAGGGCATTGGTGTTATTTTCAAATGTTAAGATTTGAATTATAATATCCATTTGTTCCTTTAAATGTGATTATCATCATTATTAAATATCCACTGATGTACGAACAAAGGAAAAAAATGTATTGCAAAAAAAAACCACTCATAACTTCTGTACTTCAAAAAACTCTAAGTAAAATGAAAGGACAACAGAAGAAACTGGTGAAAATGTTATCAATACAACCTTTTGGGAAAACAACAATATTTATCAACAGTATTTAAACTTTCACTCATTTAATGATTTCAATTTGAATTGGTTCTCAGGAAATAATTAAAGTAATTGCTTTATACACAAAGATGCTCATCAAACTTTTTAATAAGGAAATGCTTACATTATGTTTATAAAGCAGATACAAGACTGGATATACAGTGTGGTCTTAACTCTGTAAAAATGTATGAAAACACTGGAAGGATGTATGTTAAAGTGGTAATCTATCCTGAATGGGGAGATTAATAAAAAATTTTTTGTACTTCGTACAATTTTCAGATTTTTAAAATTAGTATGCATTATTTCTATAATCAGGAAAAAAATCCATATCTATTACTGTATCCATCTTTTCATTTATACTGGAAATTTCCTTGAAGGTAAAGATTCTCTTATCTCCCTCCATATCCTCAGTATCTAGTACTGTGCCTAACAGTAGGCTTTTGAAAGCTACTTACAGAATTAACCTTTAACATTTGCTTTAAGGACTAGTTAAGTGACACATCAATCCCTCTCCTCTAGAAGTATCCCCTCTCCAGAAGTATCAACTTTTACTACAAAAAGTTGGCATAAATTTGAAAATGAATTTTGAGAATAACCGTATGAGTTCTTTCAATGTGATGAATGTTTTAAGTCTCAGTAAAACATAAATAATCTCTATAACATGATAGCTATTTGATGTCTCCCAACACAGAGATTCCTTTTTTTTTTTTCTTCATTCAAAGAAATGGTAAAACCAAAATGAAGTCATAACACAGGTAGCAATGGTCAAGCAGCAGCATAGGGAGAATTGGCCAAAGATTTCTTTCAGTGCAACACCCTCAAAATCTTGCCTTATCATTGTAAGATGCTAATTCATACATTAAAATGTTATTAATGAAATTATGAATGCTATTACAAATGAATGAGATAACAATTTTCTAAAGAATTCAGCTTACAGTAAAGAAAATTCCGAGGTCAGAAATAAGATTTATTTATTCCTTTACCTTAACTGATTTAGAAGTTGTATCAGGATGTGACTAAGGAAAAGGAAAGTCTCTGAGGACTATAAATAATAGCTTATTATTTAAACTGAGGAAAAGTTACTTCATTTCTTAGTTTAATAACATTTCAAGAACCACATAAATTCCATTGTATAAATAATACTATGAAAACTCACTTTATATTACAAATTTTGACCATTTCTTATCTGGCACAACACAGCTGTTACTTTCATAATGACTATATCCATACCCATAAATTTACATTTGCTCTAATACCACGTGTATGTAATTTGACTACTACTGCTTTTTCACTAAGGCTCTCATTAGCCCTTTTCTATCCATAGTTATAACCCCAATCTTTATGCCAAAACAGAAATTTTTAAACAGGAGAGACTTTATGTTTTTAAAGGTCTTATGGTAAACAATTTGGGACATTTTGTATTCACTTACGATTATAGGTGACCAGTCCCTAGATGGCCCACATAGTGGCTACACAAAATGTTTAAATGAACAAAAGATGTGTACAAAGAGCAGAATATTTATCACTAACACTAGGAAAACTGGTACACAATACAGAACTCACTTGAGTATAGAAGCCACTAGCTGCCTCTAGAAACAGAGAAAGGTTCGCCTGAACTTCACTCCGATTCGGGTTTGCTCGATTCTTTGCCTGGCCTTGTAGTGTTGTGATCTGATTCTTAAAGGCATGATTCCAGCTGAAAACAAAATGTAATTCTATTTGGTATAGCAGTGACTCACTGGGCAGACACTGGTCCCCCTGAGAACAAGAAAGAACTGTTTGTTATAATTATAACACACTAGACATTAAACCTGTATTAAAGTTATTCATTTATTTAAATAACTTATGCTTCCCTTTGAACAAGACTAAACATGTAGTAGAATCCAACTGACCTTAATAAACACTTACCAAATGTTCAAATAATCAGATTGTGGCTTCAGCTATTAATCTTTTAGAGCTACTAGAGTTAGAGCCTATTTAGGAATCCCAGTACAAAATCAGAACCACAGTGGCAAGATCAAAGTAAAAATAAGCTATTAATGAATTTCCATATTTTGTGCCAAAAATAACTGACTATACCCTATGAAGTGACATCTATGGGGGAAAAAGGCTTTGTAAATATTAAGTCATATCTCTTACTTCCCCAAATGCTATATCCTACAGCATTCAGTTCCATTCCTACTTAAGAGTTTTGTTCATTTCTCTTGGGATTAATATTTTCTGTAGAGCTTGAATATAAGCCACATTTCAATTTTGGCTATTTAAAACAAGAAACAACACAATGCTGAAATATGGCATATTTCAAAATCCTGTTATAAAATACCTTTTATTAATCAAGTTATATAGAGAATCAATTTAAATTCAATTATGATGAAATACAGTCACTCTCTAACTTGGAAATATCAGGAGTTAAAAAGAAAAGAACTAGAATGGAGGAACGATATTAATGGCTTGACTAAAGAAAGCAAACACAGATAAGGGGTTTATAACCTACCTGGAAAGTACTTAATTCTTTATCGGTGTCAACTTTTGAGGCTTTACAGCACTGTTTTTTGTTCTGTTTTTTAATGATTTAGGAGGACAATCACTCCCTCAGATTTCTGATGACATCTTATCCTTGACTCTAATATCACAGATATGGATTCTGACTGGTCATGCTACAGCTCTATTACTAGATTTCCTAAAAATATGAGGTATCTAAGAAAAGTATGAAAGATAGAAAAAGCTAATCTTCATCACAACTTAGAGAACTGGGCATTTAGACTGAATATCCTTAACTGATTTTTCAATTTCTCTGTTCCAATTTATAAGGCAAGGCTTTCCATGAAAGGAATTTATTTACTCACTTGGAAATCTGGTTATCTGCCATTTCGCCCCTCACAGAAAGAACAAGCGGAATAGCCTAAATACATAAAATCTTTCTTTAGTTTTACTGTGGGTGGAAAATACTGATTTGATTAAAAGGAAGAACTTTCCTTATAATATAAATACATTTTCCTGTCAGGAGAAATTCACAGAATCACATTTACCAAAGAAAGATTTTTCTAAAGCCCACTCTTGAATTTTTTTTTTAATCATAGCTTAAATGAAAGACTGAATACAGAGAATCCAAACATGCTTAGTACTTGAAATATAGATATTTGTTTTTCTGATATGCCCTAAAAAGCTGTCCTAACGACCTTAATAAGATGCAACTCTAAATATTTCTCCTCTTACCTCCAAAGACTGTATCTGAGATCATACCAATGGCCAAATAGTTTGATCAACCCCCCCCCAAAATATTGGAATTTCTTTCCATTAAAAAAGACTATGAGGCAGGTTAAAAAAAAAAAAAAGGCCAAAGTGTTTTAAAGCCTTATTGAGATTCTTGATCTTACAGGGACATCCCAAATGATAATACTTACAGATCCTGTTCTACTTTCTTGTCTAAAGCATATTCCAAATCAGTAACTAGCATTTTCTGGTACAGGTCCTGCAGAGCCTGCCTGGATGTCCAGACCTCAGCTGGACCCAGCTTAGAATCTGAGTAACAAAACAAAAACACAACAGAAGACAGATAAACAGACAGTTAAAACCGGTATACTACACCAATGATTCCTTCCCTATTTCCCCCAAAGCATTCCATAGACTGCTGCAGAAGTTTTAGATCACTACATTTCAAGTGACTTTCACCTTCTGGGTAATGACTAAATTTGCTTTAAAATGCTTCTGTATTTGTCTTTTAAATTTGAAGTAACATCATAGTGAAAATGAATGTTTCACCCTTTGCTTTAGGCTTGGATTTTTGCCTATTCACATCATAGGAAGATAAGGCTCACAATAAGTCACTCCATTTGAAATGATGGACTGCCAAGTTGGTCTGTTTACTCTCATAACTATATCTCTTTGTCCAAAGAAACTTTTTTCTTTTTCTTTTGAATCATTCTCATAAGTGTCCTTACAGAGTTTACATCAGCTCACCATCTAGCAGTTGCTTGGGTATTCTGTTCCTCCTATTTTATATATGTCAACCCAATAAAGCTATGACTATAAGCATTATTTTAATGAGTGGTACACTGCTTTCCAACACACTTTTATGAGCAATCCACATTTGCCATTTAATGGAAAGGAGGGCTGATAGAAGTCTGGATTAAACTGCTCAAGAAGCCAGATGAGAGACAGAGAATAGGATGAAATTAGAAAGTCAGGCTATGACTATATATAATGCAAAATCAGGCCATGTTTTCTGCCATAGTCCTGCAAGGCACATTAACCTTCCCAATTACTGGGCTTACGATTGCAATAACTGACAGTAAGCTGCCTCCGTAGCAGAACTTAATAAGGGACTTTTCAATTACATACAATAAATACTGAAAGCAAATAATAAGTTATCATCCCTTTTGGCAACTAGGACAGAATTCAGTATTACGAGTAATATAGGAAAGAGGATATCCTTCCATTAATTAAACAGTAAAAAATATGGCGTGAAAAAGAAACAAGCCACCCAATACCTGTCATGTCAGCCTTCAGGACTTCTGCCTGCCTAGATAAGGAAAAAAGAACATCAGTTAGAAATGAAGTAGACCTAACCAACATAAATAATACTAAAAGTTAAGTGAAATCATATACAGTTGACCCATGAACAACACAGGTTTAAACTGCATGGTCTACTTATATGCAAAGTTTTTTCAATAAATATATTGAAAAATTTCTTGGAAATCTGTGAAAATTTTTTCACAATTATCTTTTCATTTTTGATGTCTAGTGTTAGTAATACATATAACATCTAAAGTGTTTTGTATCACATAAGACAATATTGATGTAGGTACTGGGAGACTATTTTGTAAACAGATGACATAAAGTTATAGTATCAATAAATACAGTACAGAACTGTAAATGTATTTGCTCTTCCTTATGATTTAATTTTTATTTATACATATTTATGGGGTACAGAGTTGACTATCAGTATTTGGGTACAGTATATGACGATCAAATATTATTAGCATGCTCATCATTACAAATCATTATTTTTTGTGTCCCTTACCCAATTATTCTCTATCCCCTCCCTCCCCTTCTCTCTTTCCCACCTCTAGTAACTACAGGTCTGTTCTCTCCTTCTGAAAGTTCGATGTTTTATTATGGTCTGTCTTTCTTTGTTTCTTAGCTCCCACTTATGAGTAAGGGCATGTGGTATTTCTGTTTCTGGGCCTGGCTCCTTATGATGTTCTTAATAACATTTTCTCTAGCTTGCTTTATTGTAAGAATACAGTATATAATACATACAACATACAAAATATGTGCTAATCGACTTTGTTTTTGGTAAGGCTTCAGGTCAACAATAGGCTATTAGTAAACTTTTTGGGGAGCCAAAAGTTATCTGCAGATTTTTGACTGTGTGAGAGGTTGGTGCCCCAACCCCTGTGTTGTTCAAGGGTCAACAGTACTACAATAAGGATGTATAGCATAGCAGCTATATTTGTGGCACTGCAAATATTATCTCTGCTTTAACATCAAGGGTAGCACTAGGTCTTGGCAAATTGATGCCATTACTTCAAAGTTTGCAGGATCATCAGTGACCTCTTCTGCTAAGTAGAATTCACTTTCTTGCTGTTTTCCTCCAAACCTGATTATTTAAGATAACATATGATATTCATAAATTTTAAAAATTTCCCTCAGTGCTCCCAGGAAATCTTACTGTTTCTCAATTCACTAGTCACTATCATTATTTCAAATTTTCACTCTCCTCAAGCTGCTGATACCTGTTTCCCCTTCCTTCCCAAATGATAGTCCTTTACCTCAGGGAAAACAATTCCCACTTATGAAATACTTACTGCATTTACACAGCCCTCTTCTTTCTCTTGCTAAAACACTAGAGGCATTGCATCTTCAAGAATTGCCTGTATTCAAGAAATCCAAAACTGAACACATGACCCATACTCATCCCTCACCACTAGGTTCTCTTCCTAGTGTTTTGTTTTTTTTTTAAATCTTTGCAAGGCTGTTGGCATATTCTCTTAAAACTTAAGATCATACAACTCGATAAAGCATTCCACATATTCTATCCTACCAACTTTACGACTGCTCCTCCACTCCGCAAAAGTCCTACTAAAGCACTAATTTATGAAACTTATACTGAGAAAGCCAGGGCTAATTATGCATCTTTACTGGATTTAATGACCTTTCATTCCATCCCTTATCTGCAAAGTTACAAAGGACATACAAATTTTACTATGCTTCCATACATTAGCTAAAAACTCATACTTACTCAAGTATATACAGGATATTTTATACTTAGGATTGTGTGTCTAAAGCTTATTTTCTCATTTCAAATAAGTTTTCTTTTGTAAAGATGAACAAGTATCATTTCACTATGCTAACATCCACCCAGTGAGGATACCAACTTCCAGTCAAACAAAGACTACCCAGAGTATATAATAGGAACTATCTACAAATAATCTCCTTTTCTTATGGGCTATCGGTCAGCTGAAGAAGTATAATTCTTGCAGATTCTGGGTCAGGCTTTCATTGATAAACGAAGATAAAAATTTTACTTCATACTGTTAATGTAATCTATCTAAGAAAAGCCATAAAACTAAAAATTCAAGCAATTAACATAAATACAAAAATGTCATTAAAACTATCTGACATAAATGTTAAAGCATTCTGAAATTCCAGAATTTTTGATTCCTCAGTAAGTCAAGGGTAGAAGTGCTCATCTCTAGGCAGTTCTTTCCTCGGTTTTAAAGGAAGCACATGTTAATGACTAAAATAACCTTGTTAAGTTGAACTGATAAAAAGACAGCTAAGTGAAAAATATAACAACTCTCAGGCATAGCTATGATTATTTTATAAATGAGGAAACTGAAGCTCCAAGATGTAAAATAATTTGTCTACAGTCACAAAGTAATCAAGACAATTAAGAATAAATTTTGTTCTTTCTGACTCCCAAGTCCAAGTTATTTCCATTTCTTTCAAATTAGAATAACAAAATTCTATGACATAAAAAGCTAACACAGGCTTATCTAGGTCCAGTTTTGTGCTCTGTCCATTAAACATTAAGTCAACTAGCCTAGATTAAATTAAAATTAAAAGATCTGTTCATAAAGGAAATAAATTATACCTGCAATTTTTTATCAAAAAGACCATGAGAAGAAAATTTCATACTCTATTGCAGTGGTCACCCTGTGAATAAAATTCTCTCTTTCGCCCTGGACCTATTTTTGTAAAGAAAGTTTTACTGGAACACAGCCACACCCATTTACATATTGTCTGTGGCTGCTTTTAGCTACAAGGGCAGAGTCGAGTAGTTGTAACAGTGACCACATGGCTCCCAACCCTAAAATATTTACTACCTGGCCCCTTTACAGAACAAGTCTGCTGTCTCCTGCTCTAGGAATACTTGATCAAAAGAACGAGAAGTAAATGTAAGTTCCTAAACCAAGGAGTTTTCCAATATGAAGAATCATCAACAATAGTGTCTTCACAGTAAAGACCTATTTTTATTAGTTAATATCTTAATCTCGTAACAAAGAGGACTATGTTAAAAAATGCAGTCTTATTGAATGAGAAAGAGTATTTGTAGGCCACAATATATTTTTGATAGAATTGATTGGCAAACTGTTTAAAACAAGGTTTGGCTTATTGACTTTTTTCTTCCATGTCCCCAAAATACCCATTTAGACAGGTGGGAGGGAGGGTTAAGCTAAAAGCTATTATCTCATTAGGAAGAGTCCCTATCTCTACCCCTAAACAAGCATTAGTTTTGGGTAGTTGTTTTTTTTTTTTTTTTTTTACAGTGTACAATATATAATAAATCAAATCAATTTATATGTGACCTTATACAAATGTTTTAATGAATATTAGCACAAAATTGGCTATTTCATTATTTTACTTCATTAAAAAAATTATACCTCAACTGTTCTACTGGTTTTGTTAAAGACCTTCAATAGATTAAGATTACAGTTTACTGCCAGTGCTTATATAAAGAGACAAGAGTTTTAAAATGTTTTTCTTGGTAGAGTGTGGCAACATAAGTTCCTTTTTATTCTCACTTTAAGCTGAAGGAATTAAGGAAAAGAATGAACAAACCAAGAATCCAAGAATTAAAATCACCATGCCTTCAATTAAAAAAAGCACTATTAAATAGTTATAAAATGGAAAGCTTTCAAAACACTAAAATACATTATCTTATTAGTTATCAAATAATAAGAAATCAAGCATTTCTATTAAGCAGTAAAAAGAAAAGACTAAGAGGCTGAATAGAATCTGGAACATTCAGAGACAGTCAAATATGTTGAATGTTAAAGATCTGAAACAATACTCTTGGAGACAACATAATCATCAAAATCTATAAATACATTTAATGCATTCTAAGCACTAGGTACTATAATAGCTAACACTATATATAGCACTTACTATTGTCAGACACTGTCCTAAGGGCTTTACATAATCATTTAATTCATGCTATGTACTATTATTGTCCCCAATTTATAGCTGAAGAAACCCAAAGAGATAGACGTTAAGTAACATGCCCAAAGTCACAGTCAGTAAGCAATAAAACTAGCGTCTGAACTCAATCAGTTTGGCTCCAGAGTCTAACTCCCAACCAATATATCACAGTACCTCTGTCATACAAGAGTGTAAGAAAAAAAATCTGGAATGTTTGATAGTAATAGCCCATAGAACTGGGGTTTTCAATAGTTAACCATTTTATGATAATTATTTAATAATGTTACTAGAGGAAAAAAACCCTAAAATTTGGGTTACTTTCTTTAACGAATACCTTGATCATACACAGCACTTATATAACAATGCAAAATAACAAATAACAGGGGCCGGCCCGGTGGCGCACTGCTACAGTGCGCCGCTTGGGAGTGTGGCGGCGCTCCCGCCGAGGGTTCGGATCCCACATACAGACCGGTTCCCGCTCACTGGCTGAGCAAGGTGCGGGAGCAACACCGAGGGTTGCGATCCCGTTGCCGGTCCCGGTCTGGTACGGGCGCGACACTGAGGGTTGCGATCCGTTGCCGGACACGAAAAGACAAAAAGGAGAAAAAAAAAAAAAAAAAACAAATAACAGGATAATCTCATTTAAGAATATACACTCTAAGATTCATTTAAAACTGTAAACTATTTCCAAATCAAGGGCACATAAAATGGGAGATTCCTTCTACCTGAACACCTGACCCCCTTTCTCCACGAGCAGAATTCAGGAATATAAGCCAATATCTTCTAAACTCACAGCTGCTAAGGAAAGACAAATCAACTCTCTTTCATTTTGGGAAAAAAAGGCTGGAGTACCGTTCTGGAAATTTAAGCAAAAGCCACAGTAGGTTTTATTTCAAGTTAGTTTGTTTACTTATTTCCATAGAGCTCTGAGAAATATTTGGGATAACAGTATTCATTATTCATAATGATGTTCGCTCATAAACATATTAACTTAATCATAATTATTTGTCCTAAATAATAGACCAGACACTATAAAGTATGCCCTTACACACACAGTCACACAAACCTATATACAATCTATAACTCTCTAAGACATTGGCAAATCTCATGATATTAACCAGAGGAAAATAAATCACATTGACCTACTGCTGAATTTCATTTAGAAAAGGGAATCTAGGGAAGATTCTGCTCCTAAAGGAGCTGCTCTCAGTAAGTGTTAATATCAACTTGCTTTCTATGCCACTTTACAGTTTAACATGCACTTTCAAATCTCTGGACACTCCAATCTCTACACCACAACATTCACTCCATAATCTATGTTCTTTGAAAATGTGTACTTAGTTTTATACTTGTTTTTTTTTTTTTTTTTTTTTTCTTTTTTCCGTGTCTGGCAACGGATCACAACCCTCAGTGTCGCCCCCGTACTGGACCGGGACCAGCAACAGGATCGCAACCCTCGGTGTTGCCCCCGCGCCTCGCTCAGTCAGTGAGCGGGAACCGGTCTGTATGTGGGATCCGAACCCTCGGCGGGAGCACTGCCGCGCTTCCCAAGTGGCGCACTAGCGCAGTGCGCCACCAGGCCGGCCCTAACTTAGTTTTATTATTGGCCAGTTCTGGTCTGGGAAGTTCAAAGGATGAGAAGGAGTTATTCTCTCAGGCAGAAGAAATAGCACAATGATAAAAAGCAAAAGCTAAGCCAATGAATGAGGCGGACTGGAGCATAAAGCGCAAGTTAGGAAGCCACAGATGATGAAGCTGGAGAATTAAGGCAGACAGCAAATTGTGAGAGGCCTTGCATGACATGTCAAGGAGTTCAGATTCTGTCCTTTAACAGGAAACCAGGGCTGAACTTTAAGCAATGGCACAGCATCATTACATTTGCAATTTTAAAAGATTACTACAAAATGTACTGAAGATAAATTTTAAAAGGCTAAGACTGGAAATGAGGAAGCGATAATACAGATGGATGGAGAAACCCAGATTAAAGAAATATCTAGAAGTTAAATCAGCAGAAGGGGAGATAGAGCAGAGGAGAGTCTAAAATCACTTCCAGATTGTTAGTGTAGACAGCTGTGTATATTAGAAGGTGGAGTTACGTAAGCAGGCAATTTAGAGATGAGTGTCAAGCACAGAGGAGACTAGTGATCCAGCACTGGAGTGATCAGCACACTGATGGCAGTAAAAACCATGAGAATAAAAGTAATGATCGCCTAAAAAGGCAGAAGGATGGAGCTAGCTCTCTAAGGATGGAGCTAGCTCTCTCTTCACTTTTAAGGAGCAGAAAAAAGACAGTCCATGAAGGACACCAAGAAGAAACTAGCAAACAGTATGAAGGCAAGAGAAGCATGGTGTACGGAAAATAAGAGAATAAAAAGGAAGAGTAGTCAACAATATTAAATGCAGTAGAAAAAGTGTGATAAGGACTGAAAAGTTATTTTGAATTTGGTGAAATAAACGTCAGTGATAGCCTTGTCAGAGAACAGGCCATATCAGATTGCAGAGGGTTGAGGAACACATGAGGAAGATGTTTAAGATAACTGGGCTGTCAAGAAAAAAAAGGGAAGTTACTTTTTTTTCAATAGGAGAGATTTGAGCATGTTTAGCTTGAAGAAAACAAACTTTAAGAAAGAAATAGTTCGAAGATATAAGAAAGCGAGAACAAAACTGACAGCATGGTTCTAAAACAGATGGAAGAGAATGATATTAATTAGACAGGAAGCAGGACTGGCCTTGAAAAAGATTAAAGATGGGGCCAGCCCGGTGGCGCACTGGAGAGTGCGCCGCTTGGGAGCGTGGTGACGCTCCCGCCGAGGGTTCGGATCCCATGTGGAGACCGGTTCCCGCTCACTGGCTGAGCGTGGTGCGGGCGCGACGCCGAGGGTTGCAATCCCGTTACCGGTCAGTAAAAAAGACAAAAAGGAAAAAAAAAAAGAGTAAAGATGAAATTGGAGGGAAGTAAGTTTAGACAGAAATGTGTTAAGAGAATTTGGAAGTACTGGGGATGGGGAAATGTCAGGATAATTGACAGCTACACTGTTTCAATTTCAAAGAAAGTAGATCAGATCAGCATCTGAAAGTAAGAAGGAAATAAAAGGAGGAGAATGGTAAATCTTTGGGTAATTACAAAAAGAACAGGAAAGTGAGCTTTAATAAAAAAAGAATTGTAGAAAAAGTGATAAGAGCCATACAGATTAGATAAAATAGAAAAATTAATATGAAAATATATCAAGATATCAACAGATAGATGGGCAGAGGACCAAACTGATGATTTTAAAACAGGAAATACTACTAGTAAGTACATATTAAAACAGATTTTTTTTACTCTAAATAAACAAAATAATAATGCTCATGCTATCTCTAATAATGGCAGATAGTACTTTTAAGGAACTCAAGATGAAAGAAACAGAGATGTACAGATAATTTCAATACAGTAAGACTGAGTAAAAGGATAAAGATACATGGGTACTTCAAGAAGTTCGTGGATAAAGAGAATTAAAAGATAATATGAATCTTCCATAAACTTTTTAAGACCCTTCATATATTACCTCGAGTACAACTAGAGAAAGAGAAGAGCCACCAGGAGTGGTGAAGAAGATAGTGTTCAGGGCTGTACACTTCACACCTAGAATAATGTCTGGCCCACAGCAGCTGTTCAGTAAAATTTGTTAAATTTGTTGAATTAATAAATCGTAGCATGTGCATCATACAAGAAACAGTTTTATGTAATGGAAAACAATACAGAACAGACTTAAGTGTAAATCTGAGCTTTCCTACACATTACTCGTGCTACCTTGGAGTGTCTTTCCAAGACACCTTATTTTCCCCATCTGTAAAACAGGGATACAAACTACCTTTCAGAGGAATAACTAAGACAATAAGTAAATTATTTAAAAGAACCTAAGTGATAACTCAAAGGAGAGGTAATCTGACTGTGACATGAATATTTCAATGACCACCAAATTACTTTTGCTAACCTGGTTACTAACTGGCTAGTCAGGTGTCCCTTCCCCCCTACTGTCTCATGGGATCCCCTCTGAAGGGGCACACTGGGTTGAAGAAGACAACATTTCAAGGTGAAAGTCAAAAATCCTAGGTCCCCTACCACCACATAATGCTAAGTGACAAAAGAAAGATAAACTGTTTATATGTCATGAAGACTACATTCTTATTATGAATAGAAAATAAAACCAGAAGTAGATAAAGAAAAATTACAAAAGAAATTGGGCTGGCTGGTTAGCTCAGTTGATTAAAGAGTGGTGTTGATAACACCAAGGTCCAGGGTTTGATCCCTGTGCCAGCCAGCTGGCAGAAAAAGAATTGAGTTGTGATGTTATTTTTTTTCTTTTTTGCTTCTCTCCAAAAAATGGACCTGATAGCACATCAAACAATCTATAAATTATAGAAATGTCATGCTGATTGATAATAGACTCTAAACTCATCTGTTAAGAATTAACTAATAATCTAATAATAATAGTTTGATCACTTATTATTTGCCAGGTTCTGTTTATGTGCTTTCATATATTATTAAATCTTTAACTCTCATAACAATTTCTATCAGGTAAGTAATAATATTATCCCCATTTTGCTGATGAGGAAATGGAGGCACAGAATGGTTAAATAACTTGCACAAGGTCACACAACTAGGAAGTTGCAGAGCTTGGGTCCTACCCTGCATTCTTGTTTCAGAGCCAGAGCTCATAAGTGTTACATAGTTGGCCCTTTGTATTCATAGGTTCCACATCTGTGTATTCAACAAACTGCAGATTGCAAATATTTAGAAAAAAAAAAGAACTGTGACTGTATTGAACATGTGCGGGGTTATTTTTCTTGTCATTATTCCCTAAACAATAAAGTACAATAGCCATTTAAATAGCATGTACATTATGTGAGGTATTTAAAGTCTACAGATGATTTAAAGTATACCAGAGAATGTGCATAAGTTATATGCAAATACTATGCCATTTTATATAAGGGACTTGGGCATCCACAGATTTTGGTATCCATGGGAGGCGCTGGAACCAATCCCCCATGAATACCAAGGGACGACTGTACAATAAAGCAGGTCTTCTGAAATGGCCTATAGTTAGGTGTCACTATCAAAGTGTCAATCAACTTGTAGGGGCAACTATCACCTCTCAATTAAAAGCTGTATCTCTGATATCAAGCATCGTCACATGTTTTGTCATTATAAGTTGCTGTGGCCAGAGTTACTAACTCACCAAGAGTTACTAACCTACAAGAGGGCTTCCTCTAGCATACTATCATACATCTATTTCTATAGGCACTTGGGAGGCTTGACTGCAACCATGCTGACATACAGAACCCAGAGCTGAAACTCTTTGCACTAAAATTAACTACTATATATGTAACCAAAAACAGGAATTTTCCTTCCAGAGGATAACCTACAAGATGGATCACATGTCCCTAGGCTTATCATAAATATTCAGAGACCTCATATACAAACATAAAAATTTCTCAAATTTTCTTCAGTAAATTTTTTAAAAAATTTCTTGGACCACAAGATATAAGTGTTCATGACAAAGTAAACATATTTTTATGAAGCCACATAAGTAAAAAGTTCTTTAGCACACCCCTCCCCTATCTTGGCCAAAATCAAATGCTTGAGAAAGTCTCTAATTCTTCTATTAGTGTTCATAGAATATGAATACTTCAACAGATATCTAAAAGAAATAAAAACATGTAGAAATCCCTTGTAATTTTTATCCTACCTAATATTACTTGATTTCAGATGCTCCTCTGATTTCAAGTTTCCAGTCCTCATCTGGGACTTAAATGAAACGTTTTCTCCCACAATGACTATCTGCAAGAACATCCAATTTCTCATAAGGTAGAATGGTTTAAGACATTCTAGACAGAGGAGAGGAGGAAAATATGAGTTAACTCACAATAACAAGAGAACCCCATTGAAGAAAATCATTTTCTCTTTATGAGAAGGCATAGGAAAGGCAAAGGAAAAATAAAGGCCTTTTTCCTTTTTGTATTTAGTTTCTTATAACATACATCTTAAAGTTCTGTTTCATATATTCTAACATTCTAGTTGTAGACCAAAATGTTATCCTAATTTCCCTCACTGTCTGAAAGCTGAGTGATCTCTACAGGACAAACAGATACCAGTTATCCAGCAGGTTCTTGTAAAGACCGGGGAGAGAAACCCCAATAGAACACAGAAGCAGATGGACTCCTTATCCAAGGAAAAACATGTAAAACAATTAAACCACAATTATAGGTGGTACGAATAATTCCTAAATTCTAAGATCAGCTGAAAATGTGAGGTTTTCAGATTTTCATTCATTCACTGAACAAATATTTGGTCATTTTTATTTTTTATTTATTTATTTATTTATTTTTTCCCTTTTTGTCTTTTTTTCATGACCAGTAATGGGATCGCAACCCTTGGTGTCGCGCCCGTACCGCGACTGGCAACGGGATCGCAACCCTCGCCAGGGATTAAGTCAAGCCACAGGAAATAAGTAACTTCTTGGGAACATCAATTTAACTCAAAGATCTGGGCAAAGTAAGTTATCATTACTAGCTCTGATCATTGCTTTTTTTTGTCTTTTTTTTAACTGACCGGTAACGGGATCGCAACACTCGGTGTCGCGCCCGTACCGGGGACCGGCAACGGGATCGCAACCCTCGCCAGGGATTAAGTCAAGCCACAGGAAATAAGTAACTTCTTGGGAACATCAATTTAACTCAAAGATCTGGGCAAAGTAAGTTATCATTACTAGCTCTGATCATTGCTTTTTTTTGTCTTTTTTTTAACTGACCGGTAACGGGATCGCAACACTCGGTGTTGCGCCCGCATCGCGACCAGCCTGTGAGCGGATACCCGACTCCTCATGGGATCAAAACC